TTAATAGAAATCGCCAAATTTTTCAAAATATTCCAACCATGCTCATAACTATCCTTCAGTCCAGTGTTCTCATTTTCATATGCGTTTCTTTTGTTGTATTCCAAGTTTCATCAGTTTTTAGAATGGGCTGGCTGCATTGGTTTTTTCATGGTTTTTTCCATGAGCATGTACATGAGCCATTTTCCCTTTGAATATACTGCATAAAGCATCCCTCCCCTTAGGCAGATAGCCTTCAAATGCTTTGCCATAATCAAATAAACCAATACAAATCAATAGTTTTTATAAACAAATGTTATTTTTTTCCTTTAGCTTATTTTAAAAATATTTGCTTGTGGAATTTGCCCAAAATGGAAGAAACTGCAGTAATACGGAATTTTGCCATAAAGTCTCTAACGAGGAGATACATGTAGTAGCCGTTGGTTGCCAAGATTTGCATGATGTGGAGTGTGCAGTTCTCTGATTTTTTATTTTTATTTTTATTTCTTTTTTTAAGTTAAAACAGATTGCTGTGCACTTGAAGAGTAGTGCAAAACAATTACATAAATATTTGGTGAAGAATGCAAGTGTTTTTTTTTAATGTGTTATATAATCCTTAATGTATAAAGTTTGTGTTCGAAATTAGGTTTCTTTACATATGCTCATAATGTCTGCCGACTTCAATAGATGCGGATAAATATCAATAGTTTGAGAATCTTTCTAAAAAATTGTTAAAAATAACCAAATTGCACCTGATAAGTAACTTTTACCTTTTCATCTGTAAAAAATCACTGAATTGCACCTGCATAGTGTCATTAATACATAAGTACTTTAAATACAGGGTTCGTATGGTCCTTAAAAGTCCTTAAGTTTTTGGAATCAATTTTTGGTCCTTAAAAGTCCTTAATTTCGCCCAAAATCGGCAGAAAGTCCTTAATTTTAATCATGTGAAATTTCTGTCTGTTTTTACGATTGCCATTTTGAGTGTGAATTAGCATTTTGGATGTATATTTTTGGCAATTTACTGATAAATATGGTTATCTTTTTTGAATGGGTTATAATTTGTTCCTATTTCTAATGTAAATGTGGGATACTCTAGTTTCTGAGCAAGAAGTGAAACATAAGCATTTCAAAATTATTTCACTTTTTCTAATAAAGAGATCTTAACTTTTTGCTTTTGGAGATGTGAATTTTATTGAACGGCTCTAAATTTGGCGATTTATCAACATTTTGGTGATTATTAATATCAGTTTCTATAGTAAATTTTTAATTCCAAGATCTGGGAATTTTTCTATGATTTTTTTAAGCATTGTAACATTGATAAATTTCATTAAAATATTGGTAATAATATATTGAAATTATATTTAAAAAATAACATTAAAATAAAACATTTTTATTTTTTGCTGTCATAATTCGTCATAATTAATGTCATTCTATTTCGGCCACTTATTATACAATATTTTGAATCTGAAAAATAAACAAGATATAATGCTATAAAGCACATTTTATGAAACAGTTCTTAGCAAAATCAAAATAGCTATGTAATTAATTAAAAATATTTTTTTTTTTTTTGAAAACATCTGGAAGAACAATGAAAACATAATATTTGAATGTTTTACTTCTGATACTAGAATCTTTTCCTTAACGTGTTCATCTTCCATTTATTTTCTCTATTTTTCACTACACACAAGCAGGGAAAATATTAAAAATGCTTCTAATCTTATCACATGGACAGGCATTATAGAAAGCAATTTTTTGATTAATAAAGAATTTGCAAACTGGTAATTTAAAAGATTAATCTAATATGTCTTTATGCATCCTACACAGGTCTGGTGCTAGGCATTGTCCTACCTGGTGCAATCACATGGAACATTAAACTTATCTCTGTAGATCCAAGATTTTGCTGACTAGTTCTTTTCTAAATTCTGCTCTAAATTCTAAAAGTTTTGCCATTTCCGGATTTTGTTGCTTGTTGTAAATTCTAAAAATTCTGCCACACCAGCTTTGTAACTAGCCCTTACCACATATATTTTGTGTTTCTTTTGAATGTTCATATTACTAAAGAAATAAAATTAGCAACTTTTTCTATACATTCTAAATGCATTTAGTTTTTTTAGAATAACAGAAATCTTTAATTAAACCAAAAAATTCTAAAATGAAAAGGAAGCATGTTGAAGAAAGAGACCGAATATATACGGAAAAAGAAAATTATTTTTCAAATATATATACAGTTATTATTATGTAACTTACCCACTTGTTTATAATTTCAGCCTTTATTATAATTTCTTGTTTCTATTTCCTCCCCAGAATGCAAATCACTTAGACAGTTTTTAAACTGAGGTTTTTAATGTGTAAGGCAGAATGTATTTTTAATTTCTGCTTGCTCACTGCATTAGTTCCTGCCAGCTCTGATAATTTGTAATTTTTTATCTGCATAATTGCTGCTGACATTTGAATTTGTTATGACAATAGAGTTACTTAGCCAACTTAAATTAAATTGTATACACTAGTCCACATTTTTTGTTTGAATTTGACTGTTCTTGTTTAATAACATCACCACAAGTTGGAATTGATTTGGTTAGCATAAGAACATGCCTTTAAGTTCTTTTTAAATAAGAGGCTTATTTAAACCTTTGTAGTTACTTTCAGACATAGCGAGAATTTACTTCACATCTATCGGGGGGGGGGGTTGGACTATTTAACTTTTACCAGATCAAGTAAACTCTCATAGGTACATTGTGGAGAAGTTGATAAGTTAGGCGATAAAGCTCGCAGAACTAGTGAGAACAATGGTTTGCATATTGAGAGAAATTTCTAATTCTTAGAAAAGATGCTTAAAAAGAAGGAAATCTTTTGTCTGGGCAGGCTTCAAATTAAAAAGACGCATAAATATTTTGTTGAGTGTTTTTGCTATAAAACATAAATCTTTTGTAGCTTTTAATGTATAATTATCCTAATATCATTTAAGAATCAATGACATAAATTGCATGTATTTTAAACTGTGAAATTTTATTAGATTGTGATTTTAATAGGGCTTTTTAACAAATATTGTTAAAAAAATAAGTAAAATTTAATAGTAGTCATGTAAATCCATAATGAATAAGGTTCTCTAACTACCTAATTTAATTATTTATAACTAACTGCTTACCCTTAAAAATTATCTCTGCATATTAAAAGAGAGTTATTGCCTTTCACTAATCCTTATCATAGTACAAGATAAAACACAATGTAAAAATTCATTTAAAACTTATTCTTCATATCTAGTAAGACCTGAAATAATGCAAAGCAACTTAGTATTACCTCTGGTGCTTTAGTGCTTATTGAAACCTTAAAGTATATTAACTGGGTTACAACCCCTGGAACCCTACACGAAGCTATGACACTAACTGCATCAGACAGAGCCCAGCTAACTTTCAAAACATGCCAACCGTGCCCACATCAGGTCTGTCAGTTTTTTTCTGATCAGCTGCTCTATCTATAGGCAAGGAGCAGTGGTCACAACAGCCAATCTTTTGTTATAAATAATTCTGATTATGATTTTGCTTCTCATTTTAACTTATACCGCTTTACATAAAATCTACCTGCTATTTACTAAACCTCCAGATTGAGCAAGTATGTGACAAAATGAGACATTAAAAAAATCAGCATGAAACTAACTATTAGTAAAACGTAAATAAAATGTCACTTATCTTCTTTCAAATATGCCGAACTATTATAAGTGTAAAATCATTAATGCTATTTGATAAATTTCATAAAGTGTATTTTATTTCCAAACTTATTAATAATTATGTTAATTAAGTTATGTTTAATAATAATGCAGCCTACTTACGGATATATTTTATTTTTTGGATGGTATTACAAAAGTGAAGTTCAGGCAATATGCTATTTGCTCATAGGTCCTAAATTTTTTTCATTAATGGTCCTTAAAAGTACTTGATTTCCATGTGCAGACACTGAAATATCATCAGAATCATTTATAAATTGTTCATTGACCTAAATAATGTATTATAAAGTGAATTTCAGTCAATTTGGACCTCTTTTGAAATGGTGTCACCATACAATGTGAAATTTGCCAATTTTTTTGTAAGAACTTCCAAGTTTTTCATACTTCAAGGTTGGTAGTTATGCTATAATAAATTAGAGAAGATCAATCTGGCAAAATTCTGGTTTTCTGGCAATCAAATTCTTTTACGTGCAAAATCACGAAGAGAAATAAAAAAATGATGTATTTGATTTTAAATTATTCTATTTTATTTTATCATAAGTCAATCTTAGTTTCTATACCAAAATAATTAGAAACCAGGTAATCTTGATATTCTCAGAAGCTTTTGCCAGTAGTAATTATGATACTACCTTTAGCAAATCAAGTATTATTAGCAATCAAGTACTAAATCAAATTAGCATTTTATAATGATGGCAGTTGTGCAATTAAAACTGTCCACATTGCAATATGCAGAATTAGGTATGTAATAATTATTCATCGCATGTATCAGAACTCAGCCACCATGTTGCAAAACGAAGGTTTGTCACTGCTCTTACTGTTACACCACACATGATTTACCATTAATGACGAAAATATAATACAACTTTGATAACAATAGAAGAACCAATAAAAATTGAAATTTGCTAAATATATGGTAAGAATTGAATTTTTAAGTTTGTTTTGAAATAAAAGTTGTTAAGCTGTCTTAAATACTTTTCTAATAAAACTGTTAAAAATCAAGTATATATTTTTCGATGACTGTATAATGTTAGATAGACATATGACATCTTATGAAATATTTTATTAAAAACTATTAACAATTCATTCATATTCACTAGAACTATTTGGCAGACTTGTGTAAAGACTGGAAAACAAAACACATTAATTTGCATGGTAACATGTTGAATTTAATAGAGTACATAATATTATCTTGGTCCTTGCACATTAAAGCAGGCAACTTGGTTCAGTTTGGTGAATTTTTTTAGGTGAAAAATTTCCAATCCGGTGCATGTTTGACTTATTTTGTAATTTTATGTTTTAGGGGGAAAAAAAAAAAATTCTCAGACTATCACGATTTATAAGCCAGCAGTCATTTCTTCTAAGTAAGCAAACATTATTACAATTTAAAATACAAATTTTAATTATTAAATAAGGATTATATGATATATTCAAAAAGTAAAACCTATTTTTTGTTAAACGCTTCTGCAATTTTTTATGCATTTCATCTCCTTGCACACATAGAAATTTGTTTTCGCTTAAAAAAAAAAAAAAATTGAAGATTTGTACAACTCGACATTGCACACAATTTCTGCATTATGCACTGGCTATCTTCCAAATGCATCTATCACATCATTGGTCCCTTCTGTGATTTTGTGTTAAAAGACTCTATTTCTGCAAATATTTTATTGCAGTTTCTTCAATTGCAGTCATACTATTCCACAAACTTTAAAATTTTTAAGGCACAAAATAGGGCAGTTTGTCTATAAAAAGTGTGTGAACTGGGGATGCAAGAAAAAGACTGCATACAAAAATGGTGACATTGCTTGATTGAAGGATTCTTATGAGTAAAGTTGTCCGAAGAATGATTATGCATGGTTGCTAGAGTTTGGCACATTCTGAAATTTGGCCTACAGTGGTAGTTGCGGTAACACCGTATGTACCGTTATCCCTTCCTTTATTATTCGTTCCAATGTACCTGTTGTGTGATTTAATTTTTAGCATGAGGAAAGGGTGGAATGTTTTTAAAAAGCGAAGAGGTTGAGTAAGTGTTTCTCATTTTCTCTACGTAATCATCCTCTATACCAATGCATATATTTATTCTCTGCTATTGTTTAGTTATCTTACAGAATGATTTACTTCTGAATTAAGATTTACTCTGAGTTGTGCATCCTTGTATGACTGCCTGAATGACTTCAGATTCATATTAGAATGAGTCTCTGAAGGGAATTTTTAAGGTAGTACTATTCCGTGAGAGCGACGTCAGTTTAAAATGAAAATAAAATGAGAAGAAAACAATGCTACAACAACAATGCCAAATATTGAGGCTCGAGAATTTAACTTTTGAAATATTTTGGCTCGAGATTTCCAGTTTTCGTTTGAAATATCATTACACATTATTATTACTTTTTTGGTCATATTTTGCCATTTTTTTAATACGATGGACTGCATCCTACTAAATTATAATTTGAAAATTATCTAATGACAGAGAGGCTGCCATAAGATTCTTTCAGGACAAAGGAATAATTCATGGCAGTTGACTTGGTTCTCAAGCTCATTCGATGAAGTTAACTTTTGACTCACAAAACTCCTATATGGTGTTGTTATGTACGTCCTTACTGTGAAAAAAAAAGAAAAGGATTGAGAATGAAAACATGGTTTGAAGGCTCGCATCTTTCTTTTCTCAATGCTGTTCGTTTTATCTGTCTGTGGTGTCAGGAATTGATGTCAGTTGAACATTGCTAACTTCAGTTACAGGGTTCGTACCTTCCTTAAAAGTCCTTAGGTTTTTGTGGGATCAATTTTAGTCCTTAAAAGTCCTTAATTTCTACAAAATTCAGCAAGAGGTTCTTAATTTTAATATTCTGAAATTTCTGTCTGTTTTTATGACTGGCATTTTGAATGTGAATTTGCATTTTTGACAAATACTTTTTGCAATTCATTGGAAAATAGTTATCTTTTGAATGGGTGAAAAGGTTCATGGATTATAATTTGTTCCTTTTTTTAAAATAAACAGTGGGATACTCAGATTTCTGAGAAGTGAAACATAAGTATTTGAAAATTATTTCATTTTTTCTATTGAAGTGCTCTTAAACAATTTTTTGCTTTTGAGACTGTGAATTCTTTATTAAGTTGTTCCAAGTTTGGCGACTTATCAACATTTTGGCTATTTTAAGATTAGTTTCTCTAGAAAATTTTTAATTTGGAAATCGAGGAATTTTTCAATGATATTTTTTTAAAAAAATTATAACATTGATCAATTTTATTAAAATAATGCTAATATATTGAAACTGTTAAGAAATAACATAAAAATAAAACATTTTTATTGTTTGCTATCATATTATAAAGTGACATTATTTTCCATTCTGGCCACTTGGAATTCGAGATCCAGACGTCCAATATCCAAAATGATCTAATATGCGGACCTCAAAGCTACTGACAACCTTTTTTTTTTAATGCTTTATACATGCTTACTCGATTCCCCCCCCCATAATAACACATGTGGAGAGTTCCGATTCTTAATTTCAGGCACTAAATAAAATACCTCGTTATTGAAGGAACAGTCATTTTAGCATAAATTTGTGTGAAAAATAATTTGGCTCCATAGCTGCATTATCTACTTGGCATACATCTCAAACCAATAAAACTAAAAAAAAAATTCTAAATAGAAACATTGTTGATTTTACACTACTAATATTTTATTTGCATATCATTATTATTTTTTGCTTTCATCGCCGCATATTTATCAACACATGATAACTTGAGTAATGACTCATGCAGGGATGCCTAAATAATTTTTTTATGTTAGTAATTGAATAGTTTAAAAGTATGGTAACCTTTCTTTCGGGTTGTTTATTCTCCCATCAATAAAATTCCGAGTTCCATACTCAAGGACCCCATTCCGGATATGAATTCCTGTGATATTTGTAGGATTCCTTGCCAGTGTGGTTTAATTTACATTGGCCAAACTAAGAGAGCATGAGGCATATGCTAGAAAAAAAGGAAACACAGAAGTCTTCTGTTGCCCAATATTGTTGGTCCGAAAATCACACTTTCAATTTTTCTGCTGACAGTATTATTCAAAAAAACATCTTGCATTGAAGAACTGGATTTTTTAGAGGTAATTCAAAAAAATCTTTCTGTTCTAGTTAACGATCCTAATTCCAATCCATCTTTGCCTTCGGCCTTTAAAGAAATTATGTTTTAGTTCTGGTTTTATCAACAGATGGCACCACTAGCTTATTTTCTGTACAGGCTTTCTTATCCTATCTCGTTCATTTGCGCTTTTGCAGCTGAGGATGGTGGTTCGGTAAAACCATCCAAACTAGCCCTGTAAAAATTTGAAAATATAATGCTGATTGTTGTTGTGTGACTTCTGAATTAATATGGTAACCTTTTATATCGACATCACACTTGGCAATGATTACAGATTTAAATTTAAATGTGCTAAGAAATGTTGACGAGGAAATATTTAACACAAATTTCCTTCAATATGCTAAAAACAGGATTTTGTTAATGATATGCATAGACCAAAAAATCATATTTATTGCTATTTGAATTAAGAATAACTGATTTATTATTCACATTAACATAGAACCGGCACCAGAGTTCGTATTGCAGCACTGACTGGTAGAGTTTAGGAAATACAATTTCGTTTTTTTAATTTAGAGAAGAACCAATCCCTCAAAATTAAAGGATGAAAAAAATTTTAGAATTTAGGAAGAGCACTGCTATTCAAAATTTAGGGGTGGAAAAAGTTTAGAACTTAGGGTGGCGCATGGTAGCTGAATTTAGGACCCCCAGAGACTGCATCAGATGGTAAAATATCTAGCACTGGCCTTCGATAAGCCTTAACTATATATGTGAATTTATTTATTCAGGACTCACATAAGCCTAAAACATGTGCAAAAAATAGACCTAAGTGTAATAAATAACTAAATTAATACAATTCAGGCTTAACTGCTTCAATGCACAGTAGAAGCAAGACAAAATTTAGTGGAAGAACTTGTCTGTCGTTGCTAATCTCATGAAATGTAGCCAATAATGCATAGCGGATGTTATTAAAGCTTGGCTAAAATTATACTTTACTGATTCCAAGAAATTTCAGTTAATATAGCAGATTGCTCTTTTCCTTAACTGTCTGATTTGATCCAGCTTATTATTTTTTGCAGGCTGTTATTATTACGACAATCATCAAAAAGATTTTTTAATTCTGGAGTTGCAAAAGAATCTACAAAGTGAAAGCATAATTTGGTGTCCATGAAACAAGAAGTGTAATTACTACAAAAAATGGATAAAGATATATCCGTCTCGAAATTATGTGAGGAGTATGGCATTGGAAAGTCAGCTGTATATGACATAAGAAAAAAAAAAAAAAAAAAAAAAATTTTTTTTTGAATTTTTAGTAATTCTGATACTGCACTCACAATGGATAACAGAAAAATTATTCGTTATGCTAGAAGTGATGATCATGACAAAGTAATGATTGAATGGGCCACACAGCGTCGCAGCGAGGGTGTGTCATTGACCTCTATTTGTCATTGATGGATTTGTCATTGACAACTATTTGTCATTGATGGATACAGCGCTAATGGCTCAAGGCAAAATATTTTATGAAGAAATGAACTTAAAACCTGGATGCACATATACGACAGATTGGTTAACCAAATTTCAAAATCGCGATGGTATACAGGCATTTAAAAATTTCAGGGAAAACCTGCTGAACTATTTGCAAATGAATTCACTCAATAATAGTGAAAAGTTATCTCCAGAACAAATTTACAGCACTGATGAATCGATTCTTTTCCGGCAGTATATGCTGGCAATTTCTACCAAAAAGGTTCCAACTGGTGTCAAAGATTCCAAAGAGAAACTAACAATTTTAGCATGGGCAAATGCTGCAGGAATGCACAAGTGTAGAGTTTTCATAATCCGAAAACATACACGAGCTCAAACATTTAAAGGAGTAAAGAATTTTCCCATTATGTATCGTGAAAATAAAAGAACATGGATGACACAAGCATTGATGAATGATTGGTTTGAAAATCACTTTATACCCGAGGCTCGGCGACATTTAAATTCAGTTGGTTTACCTGATGAATAAAAAATAGTCCTGATTGTTGACAACTGTTCGGAGCATACTTAGTTTTAGTCAAAGATAATGTATCCGTATTATTCTTCCCTCCAAATTGTACATCTATCATTCAGCCTATGGATATGGGAATATTGCACGTGCTGAAATGCAAATATAAGGTAGCATTTTAAAAATCTATGTTAAATTTCTTGAACAGTGGCAAGACTATTCAAGACGTTTTGAAATTTTTTAGCATAAAATCTGCTGTATGGAGCATCGCAAGATCGTGGGAGGATGTGCCTCCAGATACTTTAATAAATGCTTGGAATAATTTATGGCCAGCTCTCATATTTCATGGTGGGGATGATGAAGATGATAGCTGCGAGTTTGAAGGTTTTCAGATATCGCAGACCAAAGGTGAACTTTCCAATTAATAGATTTTTTAAAGAAATGTGTAGAATCGGTAATAAATGAAGATAACATAGCAGAAATTTTTCATTGCGATGGCTATGCCCCAAACATGAATCAATTAACGGACGGCAAAATCTGTAGTATGATTCTAGATCCAGAAAATACCACTACCGATAGTGAAGAAAGTAACTGAAAAGTTATTGAAAACGAAAAAATGTCAATTGACAAGTTAGCCATAATTCTTGACACAGCATTTACAGGACTTGAACAGTGGAACTTTGTAACTGAACAAGAAATTATGTCTGTTTATAAAATTAAAGAGAAAGTATTAGCACAAAAAATGAGGCAACTTACATTGAGAGAAATGTTTAATAAAATAAAGAGATAAATATTAAGTTTTTTTAAAAAAATTTTATACCCTTTAGATCATAAATGCTTCATTATTTCTTCATTATTTCATATTTTTAATTTTTAAATTTCTACATGCCATCTTTCTAGATTTAAATTGGTAATCTAAGATGTGGAAAAATCCAGAATCACCGAAGTCCCAACAATTCCGGATCTCAGACTTTTTACTGTATATAATATTTTGAATCTGGAAAATAAACAAGGTAATAATGCTTAAATTCCACTTTATCACAGTTTACAAAACAATTCTTAGCAAAAGCTGAATAGCTATGTAATTAATTAAAAATGCCTTCGTTTTAATTTTTTGATGGTTAGAGTTTTTCCTTGGTAATTGTCTCAATGTACATCAGTGTTCTCTATAAAATTAATTTTACACTTTTGTCTTCGTGTCCCCCCCCAACATATTTCTGGCTTTTTGCTGTTACAGAATTAGTAGGGGTAATTTTTCTGTAGAATTTCAGACATTGCAACTTGGAAAGTTAAGAAAGATTTGAAGTCAATGTCTATGGACTAACGAATCTAGAAGATTCCAGAAAAATGTCTTCAAGGTATTAACACGTAATAAATGTATTTTACAGAAAGTTTGTGATGAAATTTTACTTTTTGAAGAATTTTCAGAAGAACAAGGAAAACATAATATTTGAATATTTTACTTATAATACTAAAAGTCTCTCTTTTTTTTTTTTTTTTTTTTTTTTTTTTAAAGCTTTCCTTGTTTTCTCTACTTTCCCCTTGACACAAGCACAGAAAATATTAAAAATGCTTCTAATCTTATCACATGGACAGACATTTATAGAAAAGAATTCTGTTATTAATAAAGAAATTGAAAATTGACAATTTAAAAGATTAATCTTATATGTATCAGTGCATCATGCATCATACACAGGGCTGGCGCTACACATTTTCCCATCTGATGCAATCTCTCTGGATCCTAAATTCTGCTGCCTAGTGCCTTCCTAAATTCTAAAATTTTGCCTTTTCTAGATTTTGTTGCTCGGTGTGTCACTAAATTCTAAAAATTCTGCTACACCCGCTCTATAACCGGCCATATATCATTTTATATTTAATCTGAATGTTCGTATTACTAAAGAAATCAAGTTAGAACCATTTCGTATACATTCTAAATGCATTTAGTTTTTAGGATAACAGAAATCTTTAATTAAATCCGAAAATTCTAAAATGAAGAGGAAACATATTGAAGAAAGAATCCGAATACATAAAGAGAAAGAGGTTTATTCTTCATACAGTTATTACTATGTAAATTAAACAGTTATTTATAATTTTCCCTTTACGTTTCCTCAGCAGAATGAAAATCACTGAGATAGTTTTTAAATTAAGGTTTTGGGGTTGTAAGACAGAATTTGTTTCTGGCCTCCGCTTCCACGCTGCATTAGTTTCTGCCAATTTATTTGGTACCAGCTCTGGTAATTTGTAATTATTTGTCTTTGCGTTATCACTGCTGATATCTGAATTTGTTATGTGATAAATACGTTAGTACGAGTTTGTTATGATGTGTTACTGAGCTTAGATTAAAATTAAATTATGTAAGTCTTTGACTTCTATTCCACATTTTTAGTTTGAATTTGACTGTTCCTCTTTAATTGGATCACCATAAGCAGTAGTTGATTTTGCTAGCATATGAGCGTGTCTTTATATTCTAAGGTCTTTTTAAATAAGATATTTATTTAAACTTTATCTGACTTTGTAGTTACTTTCAGACATAGTCATAATTTGCTTCACATCTGTCAGGGATTTTGGACTATTTAACTTTTATCAGATCAAGTAAAACCTCATGGGTACATAGATGAGAGATTGATAAGTTAGGAGATAAAATACAGAGAAACTAGTGGGAATATCAGTTTGCATAAATGAATCAAATTTCTAATTATTAGAAAAATGCTTAAAGAGAAGGAAATTGACCTAAATTAGCCAGAATGTCATCTGGAAAGGCTTCAAATTAAAAAAATGCACTAATATTTTGTTGAGTATTGTTGCTACAAAACGTAAATGCTTTGTAGCTTTTAATGTGTAGTTATCTTAATATCGTTTAAGAATCAATGTCATAAATAACATGTATTTTAAACTGTGACATGTTAATAGATTGTGATTTTAATAGTGTTTTTTTAATGAATATTTAAAAAAAAATTACTAGTGGCCACGTGAATCTATAATGACTAAGAGTATCTAACTAGCTAATTTAATTGTTTGTAGCTAACTGATCACCCTTAAAAGTTATCTCTGCATGTTATTGCCTTATCGTGGTCACAAGATACAGCACAGAAATGTAAATTAATGTACAACTTAATTCTTTGCACCTAATGAGACTTAATGGAAAGTAATTTATCAAATGTGGTGCTTTAGTGGCTTATTGGAACTTTAAAATATATTAACTGGGTTACAACCCCAGAAGCTCTGCACCAAGTTATGACACTAACTGTGCACAACTAACTTTCAAAACTTGCCAACTGTGCGTATATCAGGCTTTCAGGTTTGTTCTGGTCAGCAGGTCTCTCTCTAGGCAAGCAGCAGTGGTGGCAACAGCCAGTCTTCCGTAACTAATCATACTGATTATGATTTTACATCTCATTTTAACCTATGCCATTTGGCATAAAATCAATCTGCTATTTAATAAACCTCTAAACTGAGCAAATATGTGACAAAATGAAACATAAAAGAAAAAAAAAATCAATATAAAGCTGTTAGCAAAACACAAATAAAATGTCATTAATCTTCTTTTAAATATGTCCAATTATTATAAGGGTAAAATATTTAATGCTACGTGATAAATTTTATAAAGTTGATTTTATTCTCAAATTTGTTTTATAATTACATTTATCAAATTATGTGTAATAATAATGCATTCTACTTATGAACCTCTCTTATTCTTCGGATGGTATCACAAAAGCGAAGTTCAGGCATAGCTAATATCTTTGATTGAATTTATTCAGTTCCTATTTGTTGTTGGGTCCTTAATTTTTTTCATTCCTGGTCCTTAAATGTGCTTCATTTCGATGTGCAGAAATGTGTACGAACCCTGAGTTAGAAATTACCCATAATATGACAATAGATTGGAATAGTGCAAATAGTTTGATGTCTCATAAAAAAAAAATCGATGAAGTCAACAAAATCGTAGAAATAAACAAAAGTCTTTTCACAAAAAGAAAAAAACAACATTGGATGTATTCTTCTGGAACAATGGATATTCAGGGGTGTTGCAACTCAACTCTTGCTGAGATCCGATGGTTGATCTTCTTCTTGAAGGGGTTAATCCATAAATGATAAACTTTCTTAACACAAACATATTTAATGAAGACACAAACGGTTACAGAATATTTACATAATGAAAAGGTTTTAAATGTTCGCACGTCGCAGCGTGCGACTTCTCAGTTCCGAGTTCTCGTGATCTCTCAGCGAGAGTTCAGAGTTCGAGATGACGTCACTCAGCCATCGGATCTCAGCAAGAGTTGAGTTGCAACATCCTCCCGCCCGGAAGGACAATTGCCATAATTGTCCTTATTACATTCCAGCTCCACTAGTAGTTGCACTGGTCTTTTAATCGTATGGCCATTAGGCAAGCGGACAGCACACGCTCTCACCTTGCCATCTCTTCCAGGAAAGACTTCCATTATGATGCCCATCTTCCACATCAGCCATGGAATTTTATCTTCATGCACTAATACAATAGTTCCTTTCTTCAAAAAGGTTCCTGTTTTCACCAATTTGGAATGATGAGCAGATTTTAAATTCATCAAATAATCCTGCCTCCATTTTTTCCAGATTCTTTCTACCAGTATCTGTTGATGTCTAAATCGACGTGTAAGACCCTTTGTTGAAGTTAATTTAGAGCTTCCTTGTGGCCATAATAGTAATCGCCTTCCTATTAAGAAGTGACCAGGGGTCAAAGATTCTGTCTCTCCTAGATCCGAGTATGTAAATGTTAAAGGTCTGGAGTTCAATATAGCTTCCACTTCTGTTATGATTGTCTCTAATTCCCTGAACGTTAACGGGTTTATGCCTGGAAATCAAAGAATGTTTTCTGGTCGCCTTTCCCGAATGTTGTGCTACAATATTGATGACTGCTATTCAGAAAAATAACGCGAATGGCATCATTATATTTTCAGACTGTTGGAAAGGATATAAGAAATGCTAGGTATGAACACTGTGAATTATAATTTTGTAGACTCTGAAACCGGAAGCCATGTTGTGGAACAATTGTAGGGCAGTGCTAAATGAAGAAATAAACGTCAGCAGTTCACAGCTCGTCACCATTTAGAGCCGTATTTGATAGTCGGTTATATTCAAAAACTGAAATTTTTTCTGTAATATTGAATGATATTTGTAATTTTGTGCCACCTGATTGAATTTCCTTTTGTTTTTTTATTTTTTATTTATGTATAGAATATTCTTTATGCAACCTGTTTAGATTAAATTTCGTTTTGTTTTATTATTTTATATTTATGTGTAGACTATTGTAGATTAAAAAATTAAAAAGAAAAAAAATTCCTTTTTTTTTTTAAGAATTGTGAAATTTAAAAAAAAAAAAAAAATTACTTTTTACAGAAGTAATTTTTTTTTATTTAGACTTTTGAGCTCTACTATTGCTTCATAATTTTAAACTTCGCAACAGTTGGTGAAGGGAAAAATAGTGCATTTTTAACTGATGCTGCTCTAATAGAATAGTACCATTTTTCATAGCAGGGGACAAATGAAAATATGAGGGGGTTAGATCAGTTGAATAAAGTGGATAGTGAAGAGAGATGAAGCCACAATTGAACAAAGCAACTTATGCATTTTTATCATGGGAAGGTGGTTCTTTGTCTTCATACAGGGTCGCTTCTATCTCAAAACACTGAAAAGACAATTTAGTTTTTGCAACATTTCACACATTGTGTAGTAGAACTTCACATTTCACAATTTTCCAGCTTTAACTTAGAAAATTTTAACTACCTAGCACTGCTTCTTACCTGTGAGTCTAAAAGCTTTTCACCTTTCTCATATGCAATTTCATTACATACTGTAAGTGAGTCAATCTTTATTTTCTAATGCATAAAAAGGAAAGCCTGCTTACTGATTTCAGTGCACAGTAATTATGTTCGTCTTTACTAGACCACATTATAATAGAATTTGTGTATAGTTTTTTTTTTTTTTTTTTTTTTTTTTTCCCAGCAGTTCTGTTTGCTTCATGTTATCCAGCTTTCCTGACTGTATGATCACCAGTCAACCCTATTCATATCAGATAATTGGGACTTATAATTATTATGATATGACTTATTCTTTTATTTATTTATTTTTTAAAGTCTTTCTACTTCAGCAAAATGGGCATAATGAATTATAGATACCTGGTATTATCTTTTTATAGTATTATTATCTTTTTATAGCTATGCAAAATGAAACGATTTTCGAAGTGTTCTAATTGGCATGTCTTTATATAAATAAATTACTTATAGCTTTTCTTTCACTGTTTACAGTTATAAGGTTTTTTATAACAAAATAATTAGATTTAAATAAGAAATTATATTTAAAAGCATTTCTAGGTCACTGCTTAGCTTACAGAATTGAGCCAAATTCATGCTATAAAGTGCATTCTAATAAAAATCTTGTAAAGAGCACTGAATGCTTTTAAGTCATTAGAATGTAAGTAATTGTCGTGATTGCAATGGTTTACACTTGTTTCAAACACTTGTATTTTTTAAAGTTATTTGCATAAATCTTGTACTAAATATTGAAGCACAGACTTTAAATGTTTTTAAATGAATTATTTTTTCTCTATATTTAGCCTTACTTGATAAACATTTTATGTAGTAAAATAATTTATTCAAACATTGTTTCTTAGTAGCTCATATAATAATTCAAGTTTTGCTGAAATGTTTTGGTAGACAATGTTCACAATGTTTTGTTTTAAATAAAAGTATATCACAAGAATATTAACAGCTCCATATCTGAAATAAACATGACAAATTCGCTTAGAAATTGAATTATTCATCATTTTAAAAATAGTAAAAATGTTTAAAATATCAAAAAAAAAAAAAAAAAAAAAAAAAGTAAAAGATGATAGAAAATTATCGAAATAGCATAGAACTGTTCAAAATGCATTAAGTCTTGACTATATTTAAAGCTAAGACCAGGAAATGGAGATTTACCGTATAAAAAATCAAATAAGACCGAAATATTAGTGTTGTGAAACTTGCAGCAGATGTAGACAAATAGTTTGCAACGAAAGTTAACCCTGAAACTGGTAGGAGAGCCATTGTGGTACATGGATACTATGGATGATCAGCTAGAAAGAAATTCATCATTGACAAGAAAACAAAGAAAATATGCCTGGGGTTTTGCAAAATCCATGTTAAGTAAAGATGTATGATACTGGAACAAAGTTATATTTTCAGAGGAGTTAAATTTGATATATTTGTGTCAGATGGATGAATCACTGTGGGGTGAAAGGTAAATGAAGAATTGGATCTGAAAAATAAATGGAGAACTTAATGGCTTGGAGATGTTTCGCTACCTACAGAATTTGAAGTTTAGTTTTTTACAGGAAATAAAATTATCAGTATCAATACATAAATATTCTTAATGAAAACTTAGAAAGCAAAATACATTCAGTTTCATTCAGTCCTAAACAAAACAACCCTCAATGTTCCCTTCTGGTTATTATACATCTATCATAAAGTTATCAAAATCCTCTCGATTTATATCCAATTGCACAGCAATAGTATAATTTGAAAAACTGGGAGAAAAATAAGAAAACGTGATTTTTTTTAACCCAAAGGGCATTAGCCCAGAAGGGCTATTAATTTCATTTTGGCATTTTGCATTGAAATGTCAGTTCACTTTTCAAACTGTTACCACCAAATATTATACCCTGTATTATATTTAAAGAAATTAAATAATAAAGAATCTGCATAAATGTATGTGTGTTTGTCACACTGTGGTAAAACGCAGGTACCTAGAGCCTCCAAATCTTGAATAATGTACATTTCACCTGAATATGGGCATCTGGAAGCCCAAATTTGGACTTTGTGTTGTTATCTATTTCGTATTTTATAAAACTTTTAACAAACTTTTTATTAGCAAACTCAATGATTTCAAAGCCAGCAATGGCAACACTGTACAGGAAAAAAAGGGAAAAAAATTATCTCCAGCGCAAGACTGTGTAATGAAAATTCTAAAGATATGCTCATTTTAAAATTATTTTGTGATATTGTTGTTGAACTGAATTTTATGGGTTAAGTGCGAAGAACATGATATTTAATAAACAAAGGTAACTCACAAAACATTTAAAAAAAAAAAAAAAACCTCTCCTTTGGGCATAATGTAAAATCTGAAAGCTTTCAGATTTTTTTTTTAAATTTATTATTTAATTTTTTTTTAATAAACTAAAAGCAATTGTTACAGAGAAATGGAACAAAATGGAATGTTCTTGCAGTAAAATATTATTTGAATCCATGCTAAAATGCATGAAAAGTGTAATTTTAGCTAAAGGATATCCAAAGAAACATTGAATGTCTATTATTTTTTATTATATAAGTTTTTGTTAAATTTAAATTGTTTACTTAAAGTGTCCAGGTACTTAGCACGAGTCCAAGTACTTTCATTTTCAGAATGAAATACTGAATTAATTTTTGAATGAAATTTCTTTTTATAAAAAACATTTTAAATAAAATTTTTTTAAATGTGTGAAAAAAATAATGTCATTTTAAACAATTCAGTAACTGATATTTCCAAATTTGAAAAACACAAGTGTCTAAACACAAATGTGAGCCACTGGAGTTAAAATGTGGATTTTATCATTGGAGTAATAATAAACTAACATTTATAAAACATTGGGTTCTTTAGTATTAGCCAGACTCTATGATATTTTGCAAAAAAACATCAGATCCGATTCAAATATACGATTCTTTCTAGCATTTGGCAAATGCATAAGCTGATTCCTTCTGGAGGGGGAAAAAAGATATTTTTTGTTTCTTTTCATAACCCTTTTCCTTTGACTAGGAGAGCCATTTTCTTATTTCAGCATCATCTTTAGACCCATTACATCAAGCACATATCTGCATTATGTAATTTTGTTTTTGCAAAACTTTTCCTGTGGAAAGCTCCAGGAACAATGTTTGTTCATCTCATGAGTTTTTTTTTTTTAATGAAGCAGAAGCAATCCATTACTTCCAGGCATATGGTATTTTGGCAAAAAATGTTAAGGATTTCAATTCTTGTGTAATGAAACTATACGTGATAGAAATGCAATATCAAAACAGCCAGCAATGCTTTAGAGCAAGACTGGAAATTGTTCAAGGAAAGTCATTTGCCTTCTTATTTAATAGAGTTCAAATGAAGTCAGCGGTAAGCTGTGGAGGATAGCAATTTGATATGACTGATTGCTAAACAGTATCTGCCAGAAACAAACAACAACAAAAAAAAAAAAAAAAAAAAAAAATTGTCTCCTGATGTTAAAAATATATTTCATCTTTATGAAGTCAATGTATCTGCAGATGTTGCATAATACACAAGTGCTAAAAGTGGATTGGTACATTATGGTGAATACTGGTGATTGGTTTTTATTATTATATAGAGTGTTCGAAGGCACTGCATGTTAATGAAGTTTCAAAATAAATATGCAAAATTTTTTAGTATTATTACATTAGATTAAAATAATCTCTAAAAGGCAAACTGATTAATTTAAATAATGAGAGCAGTTTTTCACTTAGAAAAGGTTTTATCCACTCTTAAGTGTCTTACAGAAAGAAGCCTTTCTTTTCACATTAAAAATGAGATAACTCTTAACTCATTTTTAATTTGTCATATTTGCCAGCAAGTTGTTTCTTTCTTTATATCTGTGATAAATAATCTGTTATAAAATTATCATAGGAAATATTTTGGGGGTATCAAAAGTATTTTGTTATTTTTAAAATATGTATATCTCGTTTTAACATAGAAAGTATTAAAACATTTCCTCTAGCTGTTTTATTTTTAATGCATTCTACCTCATCAAAATGTTAATGTGAAATTCAAGTTTTGATTGTAATTTATTTTTTCTTTTACAGAGAGGAGGTCCAGAATAGATTTACATATTTTATAAATCCCTGGCTGTAAATAAATTTATTATGCAACACTTTCCTGAAACCCAAAATAGTATTGGAAATGGAACAGGATGTTTACTTTCGGAAAGTAGTTTTAATAAACGATTTGATACTTCTGATCTGATTTGATTAAATTCACTAGCTGTGATGCTGAAGTTTCAGTGCATTATACTTGGAATTTAGTTTTGTAAATAATGAGTAAATAATTTTAATTTATTTATGTGGTAGATGAATTTATATGTTAGCAAATAATGTCACATATATACAGATTTCTTGTATAATATTTAACTGATTTCATTATTGGTTTTAATTTGATTAAGATGACATTCTCTCAGAAGATATTATATAATGTTAGATCTATGTAATTAATTTTGAATTTCACATTTTTTAAAATAAGATATTTTGGCTGATAATGCATAAAATTACAGAAATTTTCAAAGGAAAGCATATTACAAATGAAATAGCCACAAATATCTATTTGGATCATGGCTTCATATCACCTAAAATCAGAAATCTAGGGAAAGATAACCTTGCAGATAAAGAAATGTGCCTTATATGAAAGGTAGCATTTTTTTTTTAACATTCAGTAGAATTTGGGAGCTGTACCCATGTTTGTTTCTTTTTTCTGTATGCATGCTTGAAATTGAATTAACATGTATGGAAGAAAAATTTGAGGTACACTTTATCTTATAAAATTATTTAACACGTTTAGAGCTAAGTCTGTTTTGTCTTCCTTTCCATTTAGCTTGTGTTTATGCTGGCAATATGCAACATTTTTTAGCATTATTAGCTGGATATCTGTATAGAATTTGATAGAATATAGTTTTAAAATTGTATATCATAATTCCACAGTGACTGGCATAGCCTGAACAAAAACTGCCAGTCATGTGTGCTATAGATTCTATAACATGAAAAGAATGCAAAAATTATTATATAATTTTATTAAAGAAAATTTTAACTAATTTTGCTAAAATCAAACCCTTGGTTTCAGGTTAATTACTGTTGCACCAAGAAAAGTAGATAACACTGCATTGATATATGTTCATTTAAATGTAAAAAAAAGTATCAATTGTAAATCAACAGACATTAACTACTTCCTACCTCATGGTTTTGTGTCAACAAGTGTGTGTCCTCGTCATCTTAATTAATTGAATTATCGATTTTTAATTTTGTGCATATTAATACAAAATTTTATTTTGGTGCAAAATATTTTTTAATCAGTTTTTATATCTTCAGTTGAAAATGAATATTTAGCACTTGCATTTAAAATAGCTAAATAAATTAAAAATTTAAATTTTTTAAATTATTTCAGCACTTAGAAAAGTAAACCTTAATGTGTCATTTATAAATTTGTTTACATATATTTTTATCCCTTTATCATTATTAAAATTATTCAAATTTAATAATAAATTCTTTCATTAGTTTAAAACAAATAACATAAAAGCAATAAGCTGAAATTTTCTTGCTTATATATTATCACCTCATCATTAAACTGTGAATCTTCATCACACTTTTCAGAGGTTTTTTTACTTCCTTTTTTAAAAAAATTTGTGTTGTGAATAGGCTCCAAAAAAAAAAAAAAAAAAAAAAAAAAAAAAACCTCTAAATAACTAAATATATGTCATAAAAGTTAGCTACCATTAAAAACTTTTGATTTCTGTGCAAAGAATATTCAGAATTCTCATACTTTTCAGTCTACAAGAAAATTTTGCTTTGTTTTTGTCAGTTTATGCAGTTCTTTCAAAAGTTTATTTTATAAATTTTAACATAAATATTACAGTAAAAATGTTTTTGTCTTATTTTTATGGCCCTAGTTTTTAAACTTCATCAAAAATAGCAAGAAATTACTAATGACAGTCTTAATATAAACTATTCAAATTTGGCAAAATAAAGCTATTTGTTTACTACTGCAGAAGTAAAAAACAGCTGACTGCATACAAAAACTTAACGATTTTGAATTAATTTTAAGATATGTATTGCAGTTCTGTACGATGATTTCTGCAATGTATTTTTAATAAGTCTTGTTGTAGTCACCATTATTTATGATTCTTTTACATTTGAAAGGTGGATTGAAATTTGCACTAACAGTGATCACTTAATTGGTCTATTTCGGATGAGAAAAACTGAGCAGGCCACGTGTTAACTGATGCTAAAGCAAAGTTTATAAAATTAAACATTTAGCAGTAGTAGCAATAAAAGCTCCCTGAGATTATATGTTGTGCAGACATTGAAGACAATAAAGAAGTTTCAAACTTAACCAATTTATTAACAATATATAAAAAAAATAAAAACACAAAGAATAAATTTAAACAATATCAGAGTCTTATAAAAAATATAATATAACCATCATTTTCAAACTTTCATTCATCAAATAATATTTTACCTGGTTTCCAAAAATACTGGCATTCAATACAAACAAAATGTCCTAAACAGAAATTATGCGGTCTCAAATGAAATTGGCTATACATTCAATAAGTCCATGATCAATGGTCAAGAAAGCACCTGAAATTTAAATTAAGTCCTTGAAAGCACTTAATCCGGCCTAACTCTGCTTACAGTAGTTGAACACGAGGAATCGCCGCCAACTTATTTTAAATGTCGCCTTCATGAAGAATATGGATGCCGCCCACGGCAGTCACTCACATTGTAGCTTCTGGAACCAAAGAACTTATTCTGGAAAGGTCATCTTGTATACAGGAACCAAGGAACTTATTCAGGAATAGTCATTTTGTGGACAAGAACCAAGGAACTTATTCACCGGACTGCACGCATCCTTCAATAGGGGCTGGAAACTGCACACCCAAGAGCCAGGAAAGCAGGAACTAGAAGGCTGAGCCAGAGCGACGCACGGCAACCAATCAACTATCGGCACGATTCGGCTTTCCAGATGACGTAACATCACGTTTCGTTTTTGCATCTTAATTAGGTTGAAACAGTCGGTTCTCAATGCAAACAGTGGCAGTAGAAAAAAGAAGTAGAAGTAACTACTATATCCCATTAAAAATAAGAACTAAGCGTAATAAACATTTCAAGGAGGAGAGATGATGCAGTAAAAGGGTTACAATAAGTCATATTTTCCAACAAATGCCCCCCACATCATCATCTCTGACCTGAAATAAAACTGAACGCCAGTATCTTTACAAAATTCAAAGCAAGAATAAATAAATATCACAATTTCATTCAATTCAAAAAATTTTAAGAAAATTTTCCTTTGGAAACATCTTATCCCATTATTCAAAATTTTACTATAACAAGAAAGTCCAACATGTTACAAAATAATACAAAGACATTAGTATGGTCATACACTCGATACTTTTACTCATGGCCTTGGTCAATCATACAACTTTCTACACTATACAGTTTTACATTTACCTAATATTCATCATAATATGACTTATATTATTTTCAACTAAACAAAACTCTTAATTTAAATATACACAAAAACAAGTTTCATAAGAAAATTGTTCCACAAAATCTTATCAGGTTATGCTTAGTCAGCAGTTTTGTCATGGGATCAGCCAGATTACTTGGAACATATTTTAAATAAAAAATTTCCTTGTTCAATAGATCAACGAATGAAAAATAGCTTTCACATCTATATGTTTTGTCCTTGAGTTTTCAATGGGTGATTTTGTAAAACATATAGCAGCCATGTTATCAGCAAAATAAATATTGGTTTCGAAACATAGTTACTTGCAATTTTAAACTGAATGCATTCATCCAAAATGTTTTTAAACTAAACCAAACTAATTCTTTTGCTGATTCAGTCATGGAGATAAATTCAGCCTCCATAGTAGACAAACTCACTCCCCTTTCTTTAAATGTACGCCAAGATACAGGTGATTCTCCCAACAAAGCTATTTGTCCACCAATAGACACCATATCATCCCTGCTTGAAGCAAAATCCGAATCTGAATATATATTGAGCTTCAGTTCCTTGCATACCAGTTTAAGTTTATAATGTCTGGTATTGGAAACATATCCTAAAAGTTTAAGTAATCCTTCCCAGTGAAACTTACCAGGATTGCTTTGGAACTGAGAAAATATATTAACAGCATAAGCTATATCCGGACAAGTACGATTGCAAAGAAACGAGAGACATCCCAAAACATTTCTATAAGGATAATTCATCATTTCAGTCGTTTCTTCTTGTGTACTGGGACTTTCAGACTTTGAGTATTTCACACCTTTAACTATTGGAAGGGAAGTAATTTGTATTTTAAAAGACTTGAAACGATCAACTATGTCTTCTATATATAATTGCTGATGAATTAAAACACTATTGTTCTCATATTCAAATTCCACACCCAAAAGCTTTCTTGTTTTACTTAAAATTTTTAAATCAAAATGTGAATTCAGAACTTTTAATATCCTTTTAGCTTGAACTTCACTTTTTCCAAGCACAACAATATCATCAACATAAACCAACAGAATTACAAAATCTTTAAAACTATAGACACACATTACACCACTCAAACTTGATAAACCCTAGGTTACATAGTGTTCTATCCAACTCGTAGTACCATAATCGCCCACTCTGATGCAGACCATACAAGGCTCTATCTAAACGACACACAAAAGTTTCTTTATCTCGCTCTACAAAACCCTGAGGTTGGGACATGTAAATTTGCTCTGATAAAGGAGCGTAGAGATAGGCACTTTTTACGTCGCATTGTATATTTGCCCATTTAAGGTGTGCAACTAAAAGAGAGAAAAAGAGCCTTATTACTGAAAAGTTAACTACAGAAAAGTAGGTTTCATCATAGGTATTGTATTTAATTTGCCGATAACCCTGAGCCACTAAACAAGCTTTAAAACGAACAATGTTTCCAAATTCGTCACGTTTAATGTTGAAAATCCACCTGCAACCTAGTGGAGTCTTGTCTTTAGGAAGTGGAACAAGATGCCATACCTTATGCTTTCGCATGTTGGCCATTGCCTCTATCCATTTAAGCTTTTCTGTGGATTCCATTGCCTGGTTATAAGTGTTTGGAATTGAAACCTCTAGTCAGCTATCTCGGGTATATGACGTTGAAGGAGTGCCAGTTGGGTCGATTTCACCACTATAAGTATTTCTTCCCTTGAAATCAAACAAGGTAGGTCATACTGAATATTATGTTCAGTGCAATACCTTTCTACGTCATTTGGTGATCGTAGTCTTTGACTGGACCCCCTATCAAATAATACACATCCGTACGAGTGCCGTCTGGCCTTGAAACAGGTTTACGAAGCCAAGTTACTTGTCTCAATGTAGACTGAGTGTCAGTGCCAGTTGTAGAAGAAGGTACATTGGTATCGGTTCTTTTCTCTATTTCAGGAAAATAGCCAACTGGAGTATCAGTAGATTGGAACTCTATCCTCTCTTCGGATTCCAAATCAGGAAGGGTGCCCAGTGCAGCTCCACTGCCACTTTTCTGCATTCCAATTGACGTTTTAAAAGTAGCATTTAAGGTTTCTACTACCTTTTGCTCATTTTCCAACCAAATCTTGTACCCTTTTGTTCTTTGTTCGTACACTGTATCCCAATCAATCGGCCCTTCGTTGCCTTTGGATCAAGCTTAGAATTTCTTTTAGCTTTTGGAATTCCCACATAGGCAATCGTTCCAAATGCCTTAAGGTGACGTACTGATGGTTTCCGCTTAGTATACAATTCGAATGGGGTTCTATCTTGGCCCTTATATGACAAATTCTATTAAATGAATATGCAAAGT